CATCCTCCCGCGCATAGCGGTATAGCAGTCCCGGAGCATTCCGTAATTTCACTCACTTTTATAACTTGATTTTAAAAAAACCTGGGTCCCATTTCCAAAATCTGATTAGAGCGGGCTCATTTAGGGCCTATTACCTGTCGATTTACGCAAAAATCATACAAATCGGCCCGGTAGAACGCTCAAACGAACTATGACAAAAAGTATAAATTTACATTGTTTAAATGGGAGAATTCGCAACTTTACCACTTAATATAAAAAAACCTGGGCCATATTTTGAAAATCTGAAAAGAGTTGGCTTATTTAGAGACAATTGCCCGTCGATAGCCGCAAAAATAATTAAAATCGGCCCGGTAGAACGCTGGAACTAAGCGTCACCAGTTACGCAAAATTAGGAGGTCTTGGAGCTTATATATATGATTAAAAAAGTTATTGAGCTTTTTCGAACTTTGGACCCCCAAGCTTTGAACTCTACGTGAATTAAAGATAAATTTTAAACATGTCTCCAATATGCATCGATCCTTATTGCGTATTTTTGAACCGCTGCACCCGAATATGATCTAAGATATTTATCTTTCGCAGACCAATTTTCCGGGAAAGTCGATTTTCCACGGAGAGCGAGCTTTTTGTTACTTTTTCAACGACTTTCCTGTCCCAGAGACTTTCAGAAATTTTCCAAGGGTATGCCTTGATGTGGTAAGAGTCACTGAACCCGAGTTTGACCTCCACTTGTTTCTGATACCTCCCCCTCTCCCGGTTTTCTGAAAGATTCGATTTTTCCGGGCCTACAGGGATGTAAATGCTTTCCTGGATTGTTCCCACTTCCAGGAAAATTTGAAGAATTTTTCGCATGCGTCGTACATTGATTCTCAGGTAATTTAAGCTGAAAAACTAGAATATGGAGACAAACATTTGTTATCACTCTCCATTTTGCTGAAAAAGCCGCGGATATGAGTATTTTTGGGGGTTTTCGATGTTTTCCGAACTGTACCCCCTGCCTGCCTAAGGTACGTAAAATGTAACTCAGACGTGAGATATATCTTTCAAATATATTTTGAGTCCCTGAGTCAGGAAATGGCCTCCACTTTTTTCTATCACTCCCCCCCCTCCCCCCTTTATCTACAAATAGATACAATTTTTTATGAAGTAGCCCGAGACAATGGTGACAGAAAAAAACAAAGAAACAGAGAAAAAATACATCGGAGGGGGCGTAACTTGTACTTGAGAAAAATTAAACGCTTACATGCTGCACGGGGTAAGCCTTTGCATACTCCCGAGAGGAACGGTCAGGCCTGCCACGTCTGGTCGGGATGTATCGCTGGGGTCCGAACCCACTTGGGCGCTGCTGAACATCGAGCATGCCTCAATTTCGTGCGTGCTGGCCGCGTGCGGGGGTGACCCTCTCAATCCCCGTGTAGGGCTGTTCTATCGGTTGTCGGAAAGCTACCGAAACAGTTACGATAAGAGCGCTCTCAGCGATAGCGATCTGAGTTTTCGGAGCTGACGAAAATAAACTGTTGTCATGCGTACATCTATTTTACGCGCCACTGCGCCAGGCAATCTGACAAACTGACACACGGGACAACGATGTAATGAGTGCGAGCTCTTAAAACTCCGATAAGGCGGGCTGTAAACGACGGCTGTAAATCGGCCCGGTAGAACGCTCAAACGAACTATGACAAAAAAAATAAATTTACATTGTTTAAATGGGAGAATTCTCAACTTTACCATTTAATATAAAAAAACCTGGGCCATATTTTGATAATCTGAAAAGAGTTGGTTTATCTAGAGACAATTGCCCGTCGATAGCCGCAAAAATCATAAAAATCGGCTTGGTAGAACGCTGGAACTAAGCGTCACCAGTTTCGCAAAATTAGGAGGTCTTGGAGCTTATAGTATAGATTATTTTAAAATAGCTTTCCCCTAGTATACAATTGATGCTTCAAACGGAATCAATTGTTTTAATGACATTTTCGGCAAAATCATGGGTTTTCCCAGGATGGCAGCCTCTCGTCCCTCCCGGACTCTATTGTTGCCAGATAAGTTGCTTTTTTAGCACTTTTCCCAATTCAAATCCATGTAAAATATTTACATTTATCGCAAAATCTGGCAACCTCTCGAGTGAAATAGAAAAAGGTAGAATCGCTGAAAGTCTGAATCCTTCGAAGTTTATATTAATGATGATGATACTTTATTCTATAGTATAGGCGATTCTTTTTTTTTTTTTGGTGCTTTAAAAGCGGGAAGAAAATTGAGTTCCGGCAACTACTGGTCGCATGTACCAGGAACGGGCGGCAAGTCCCACTCCCCGACAGCCGCAATCGGCTGAAAGGGGGATAGGGGTTGGTATCGTCTGTAACCGAAACTGGTGCCACTACCGACGGTGGCGATGATATCGTTTACAGCCCGCTTTATCGGAGTTTTGAGAGCTTGCACTCATTGCATTGTTGTCCCGTGTGTCGGTTTGTCAGATTGCCTGCGGCGCAGCCGCGCGTAAAATAGATGTACGCATGACAACGGCTTATTTTCGTCAGCTCCGAAAACTCAGATCGCTATCGCTGAGAGCGCTCTTATCGTAACTTATTCTTAACGGAACTGTTTCGGTAGCTTACAGACAACCGATTGATCAGCCCTACACGGGGATTGAGAGGGTCACCCCCGCACGCGGCCAGCACGCACGAGATTGAGGCATGCTCAATGTTCAGCAGCAACCACCAATGAGCTCTGAAAGCGGCATATTCTAATCAAAAAGTGCAGAGTTTTTGCCATTTTTCGATTGTAGGCAACGGACTACATTATACAGGGTGTACCAAAAGTCCGTCCCACCCCTGCTAACTTTTGAACGAATTGAGCTAGGGTAATGAAACTTTGGGAATGTTCCTATCTCAAAGGGGACCATCTTTTGGGGGGGTCAAAATTTTGGTCCCCCCTCAGGGGGGGGCGCGGGGGGCCCCCAACTTTTTTTTTTCAAATGGCAACCCCTATCTTGTGATACATCATTCGATAGAGCATAAAAAACTAAGAATTTTGGCGCAAACCGCAGATCAATATCTTAATTTTTGACCGAGTTATGATAGGTCAAAGGTCAAATTTGACCTATTTTCAAAAAATCATAACTCCGGTTCAAATTATGGTAAAGAAAAAAAATAAAACGAGAAAATTTACCAAATTGTGTCCGCTTTTAAGCAAAAATTGCAGAAATCACTTCGCTGTAATTTTAAGGGGGGGCTTGGACTCCCAAATACGTCAATTCAAAGGTCATTCAATTTTCCCACGAAATAAGCCAATTTCCTCTAGATTTGCCTCCACATTATCGCAGTAAAGTCAAAATCAGTTCAACATTACGATGGCAAGTCCCCAAATTTCGGGAAGAGTTAAAAAAACGAAATTTAAGGTGATTAAATTTGACCGTATAAATTTCGTTTTTTTTTAACTTTTCCCGAAATTTGGGGACTTGCCTACGTAATGTTGAACTAATTTTGACCTTACTGAGATAATGTGGAGGCAAATCTAGGGGAAATTGCCTTTTTTCGCGGGAAAATTGAATGACCTTTGAATTGACGTATTTGGGGGTCCGAGCCCCCCCTTAAAATTACAGCGAAGTGATTTCTGCAATTTTTACTTAAAAGCGGACACAATTTGGTAAATTTTCTCGTTTTATTTTTTTTCTTTACCATAATTTGAACCGGAGTTATGATTTTTTGAAAATAGGTCAAATTTGACCTTTGACCTATCATAACTCGGTCAAAAATTAAGATATTGATCTGCGGTTTGCGCCAAAATTCTTAGTTTTTTATGCTCTATCGAATGATGTATCACAAGATAGGGGTTGCCATTTGAAAAAAAAAAGTTGGGGGCCCCCCGCGCCCCCCCCTGAGGGGGGACCAAAATTTTGACCCCCCCAAAAGATGGTCCTCTTTGAGATAGGAACATTCCCAACGTTTCATTACCCTAGCTCAATTCGTTCAAAAGTTAGCAGGGGTGGGACGGACTTTTGGTACACCCTGTATATCTCTGATAAGGTTGTTTTTTCCCGCCAGATGGCATAATCAGCCAATTTATCCCCATTTATGGAGCTTTTTCCGCTGTATCTTTGAATGCCGAGTCCGACTATGACTTTGGTTTGTCTCTAGAATGCAACAATTTGCCGGAAAAATTAGGATAAAGAGAAAAACTGAAATCATTTACGGATTCGACGCTAAGTTTACTCAAGAATCACAACAATCATATTCCCAGAACAATTTTTTTTTTTTGTCGACCTGTGTAATTTTTCGGAGCAAAATGCATTGTGCCAACACACATTTTTCCCGAAGATTTCGTTTCAGCAGAGCAGGAATGGTTTCCTAAAGTATTCCACTGTAGTTTCCCGCTTTCAGAGTTGGGGGTTGTGAATTTTTTAGGTACAATTTTTAAAACCATTCGTGGCGATGGGTGCAAAATTTCATGAAACTTTATAATATTTGGATTTCATAATGAAATTTTGCCTGACTTTTGCGATGGACTCAGTAGGTTTGCCCAATAAGCGCACGGAAGCAGCAAAATCTTAATTTTGAAGATAGGGGGGGGGGAATTAATCAAAAGTAGAAATTTCTTATTAAATTCTCAGATAATTGTTGCTGTAGATTGCATATGCAGCTCTTGAAAAATCATTGAAATTTCATTAGAAAATAAATTTTACGTTGCATCTCAAAATTGGGGCATGTTCTCTCCAGAAATTTAAATTCCAACGGCAAATTGAGAATGGTGGAATAAATGGTGTGAATTTTTCAGATGCTCTCTTATCTAAAAAAAAAAAAAAAAAAAAAAAAAAAAAAAACCCGTTCAGAACTGATCACAAAATACTTATATCAACATTCTGACTTCACAAATATCGATTTTTTGTCGCCTAGACTTGGCATTGGCCCCGTAGCAGTGAGTCGTGAGGCAGTTGACCTTGAGGACTGATTTCGACTATTCTCTCCCCCCTCTCTTCAGATCTTCTCGGATCTGTTCGCACCGTTCTCCACCAACCCTGCCGGGTTCATAGTTTTCCTCATCAGTCAGTCATTCTTTCAGCTCGAGCAGGGAACACAACAGCCCTGATCAGTTTGTGCACCGGTTCGTTTCTTTCATCTATTTCATTCATTCTTTCTTTTTTGTTTGTTTTCATAAACAAAAACGTTACCTCTACCTGAAGAAATTCGAACTGAATTTCAATGCTTTTGAATGGAACTTGTTGTTCGCATCTTTCCAATAAGTACATGTTTCAAGCATTTCGTGCTTTTTTTTATTTTTTGTGGGCACTTCTATGACTTAGTTACTCACCAACATTGACCGGGAGGCTTAGAACTTTTTCCATTATAGGTCAATTTTATCCGTCAAGAAATGCTGCTAAGGGCTGTTCATGAATTAACTAACGCTCTAGGGGATAGGTGGGTCTTCATAGTTTTATGACCGAGCGTGACAAGGGGTAGGGGGTGTTGAGCTCAACGTTACATGCCAGTATGCGAGATAAGGTAAGATAAGATAAGATAATTGCTTCATTTACTCTTAGTGGGTTTATAAAGGGAATTTATTAGCCTAACAATAAAGGTAAACTTTTCCCGGTTTTTTTGTGAAGGGAGGGGAGGGGGTCGAGGCAAATACATTACGGAATTATTTTGAGGGTGTTTGGAAATGCGTTATTATCGCATTAGAAGGGATTCGGTGGGTAAACAAAACGGGAAAATCTGATTACGTAATTTATTGACAGACGTTTGTGCTTTCTCGAAAAGATTTTATCCATTCACTAGGAGGTACACACCCTTGCCGATCTTACTATATCAATAGACTAGAGGTACACCCCCCTAACCCACGGAGGGTGCTTCGCGGTTCTGTCTCAGCAACCAAAGATATGAGGGAAATTGAATATTTAGAAGCAATGTGCTTTTTCTTAGAACAATAATATTAAGGAACGTCTTATGTTTTTACTAGTTGCACTCTTCCAGAGAAAAGACCACCCTCATACGTGGAGCGTAAGAGTTGAGATTATTCCTAACTTAAGTTTTCACTTAATTTTTTATTTTATTATACTTATTTTGTTTATTATATTTGTCAAGTATTTATTTACTTATTTGAAAACCATTTTTTTTAAATTTTTCATGATCTATGCTTTTATTTCTATTACCTACAGACCCATTTATGAGTTTTTTGTTGTATTTATATTTACGATCTTGGCTGTATTCTTTCTAGAGATATCCTTTTTTTTGCGTAATCCATTTTTTTTTTATTATTTTATTTACCCAATTAAGAGTTTTGAAATTTTTGTACCTATGATATTTTGAGTGTAGAATCCCTCCTTTCCCTCTCAAAACTCACATAGAGATAGATAAGGAGCACTGAAGGATTCCGAAAACGATAGAATCAATCGAAGGAATGGAATAATAATTAGTCTTATTCATCCGCAGGGATTCGAATTCTCTAAGCCCGCCAAAGCCATATCCGAAACGCCGCTTACCGTGCACTCGGCCAAGGATGGACCGGTTCAGTGCATACGTCACAAACGCGCTATGTATCGGAAATTTTGGTTAGTTCAAGACCGTCCTGGCCGACTTTTATTGCGATTATAAGTACTTTAAACCTTAAAGTTTTTATTTTCGCCTGCTGATATTGTAAGTTTGACATTGACATTGTAAAATAAGGCAGCCTTACGGTGCCTTACGAGGGGGGAGGGGGGAGGGAGTAGGGCTGAGCCTAACGTAAGCTTTCCAGCCTATATTTAAAAAATTTAAAATGCAAAAGTTCATTTCTCGTCAGGTTGATAGTAAAATTCAAGATGAAATAGAGGAAATCAACACATCACCGATTGCTGACCAATCGGACCATGCTCCTGTTAATTCTATTGATTCCCACTTCTCCACTCCGTGGGATGATGAGTAGTGACTTCATCGTTATATCAACTTTATACTTTTAACTATTCCAAAGAAAAAAAAAAATCTTCAATTTCGCTCAATGCACTTCTGTTCATTAATCTAATTGTATCGTTAATATTTCCTCTGACCTTCAAAAATTTAGTTTCACTACTAACAATTTTGGCCTAAAAAAGTCATTGCTTTTCTAAAAGAATTAAAAGAAAAAGAAAAAATGTATAGATCTGCGATAATGGAAGGGGGGGGGGGTCAGTCGAGCCTTACGAAATTTTTAGAGAGAGGGTAAGGGATGCCTTGGGATGCCTTACGAGGAGGGAGGGGGGTCTAAAAACAGAAAAAAGTGTTTCACGTAATTTATGAGTGGATCCTAATCTGTTAAGTCACAAACTGAGATACTACGTGGATTCGGGGCTCACCGTTGATGTATGGGTTAGTTCCAATAACTGTATGCGTTTTTTGAAGTTTTTGTCTCTACCGTAACCCTGAACAACAACTTAAATTCAAGGAAAATAAAGGTTCAAATGTTCATAACCATTTTTTCCGTCATAACTCACTAGACCACAATACACTGACGATACACTTAAAGACCATAGCCGTCAAGAATCGAGTTCCCCTTAGATTCAGCACTTTTTGTATGGTCTTTGTTTTGGTCCTAATCGTAGATCATACAAAAAAGCTGAATCTAAACATAACTAAATTTTGGACGGCGATGTTCTTTAATGTATTATGAATATAATAATGTGGTCTAGTGAGTTATGACGGCGTAAAATGGTTATCAAAATTTAAAACTTTATTTTCCTTGAATTCAAGCTGTCGTTCTGGGTCTACGGTAGGGACAAAAAGTCTGAAAAACGTTATGAGTTATTTGAACCGACAGACATTTTCTCATCTAAATTTCACGCAGAGCAAGATTTGAGCAACGAAAATTACTGACAGTAACTCCTATCCACGATACTACCGTAACACTTCAGAAAGAGGCGAGACCCTTAACTTCTTCTTTTCTTGAAATGGTTACCTCTCTTTTGAAATGCATCGTCCGAACGATATGAAAAAATGGTGAATATTTTTTAAAAATTTCAAGTAACTTTATCCAATGTTTCAAAAAATTATAACAGACATTTTAAAAATAATACCGAATAATTTTTTTTTTTTAAATTATCGTTAAAATTTATTAGCCGGACTCTCGTCAGGCACTTTCGAATTGTTTTTAAGTTCCGAAAAACAGGGGTTTTAAATAACTAATAGACGATCGGTCCCTCAAAAAAATCAAATTCATTTACAAACTTTTTTGAAGGGAGTGCACCTTTTAGTCCACAAAAATTGCTAGATTCCTATCGTTTTTATTTCGCTTAAAATTCTTTCAACACTCCGGCAAGAAAATAATCGAGAAAACCATAAAATACTCAGATGACACCCCATCCCTTCCTAGAGTGCCTATATAGCGAAAGTCTGGACGGATCGCTTCATGGAGGGCTTCAGGTCCACAAGTGCAGCCATTCTTCTAATCAACTTCTAACACAAAATTTCACGGCCAGTCTGCAGAATCTGCGCGCAGATTCCCATTCTAATCAAGATGGCCAAGAATGTGCATAAATAAGGGTTCTTCCGCAAAAATGAGTAAATTTATGCAAAAACTAAGTCAAATACGTGCTTTATAAACGACGGTTCCTAACAGTTGTATTAAGGAATCGCTCTGAACAATTGAAATTCATAGGTTGGCTGCATTTCTGGGCCCTAACTTTATTCGCGGAGGCATCATGAAGGCCTGATGGATTTTTGAGTTTCACATCAGTCTATATTCTCGCTACATTGGTACTCTATCCCTTCCTAGCTATTCTATATTTCACCAGAACGGCTAAATGTTTTGAGCAGGATTTTCATCTGATTCTATGGATGTAGAAAGGGAGAAAAAGGAGGGGACTTGGAAAAAGTTGGCTCTGATTAACAATCAAAAATTCTTCCCACCCGGGCAAAAGTAAGGTACCTATAAATTTCTAAAGTACATACAGGGTGTCCCAAAAGTCCGCACCCCCCCCCTCGTAACTTTTGAACGGTTAGAGATAGAAAAACGAAACTTTTGGAATGTCTCTATCTTAAAAGGAACCGTCTTCTAGGGGGGTCCAAATTTTTGTCCCCCCCTCAGGGGGGCGTGGGGCCCCCAGCTTTTTTTTCAAATGGTAACCCCTATCTTGTGATATATCATTAGAAAGAGCATAAAAAACCTAGAATTTTGGCGCAAACCGCAGATCAATAT